AGGAAGGGAACGAGAATGATGATGAGGAGTGATGCTGTTTCTGTTCTTGTTTCCTCACCCTCATGTTTATTCTAAAATAACTGATTTTGTTGGTCTGTCTACTTCTCTCCATTCCATGAACTTTCTTTTTGGATGGATTTGGGCTTCTTTGGTTGAACTTTGTTGGCTTGTATGAACTACTAACTCTGCTATGGTATGAACTGTTTGGCTAATCTCTTTTTGCAGCATAATGCTTGAATGGTGGTTGATGCCATTGTATGGATAAGCACATTAACTTGTGCACATTGCTTTTACTTGTGGATACTTTTTAATGATGCCAAAAGGGGGAAGTAGTCTGAAGTTGAAGCCTAAGGTTTAGCTAGTTTAGATTGAGTCAGTTTGAGTCTTTTTATTTCGTATTTTCTATTTTCTGCTTAGGGGACCAGTTAGCCTAACTGACTTGTTCCAAAGAGTTTTGAGTCCTTGAAGTTTTTGACGGTTTTCTTTTTGAGCATGTCCACAGGTTCAGGAACTTCAAGAGTTTGTCATCATCAAAAAGGGGGAATTTGTTGAGTCCCTTAGGTTTTGATTGATAGTTTTGAATGATGACAAACAGCTAAGGGAAACAGGTCCTTGAAAGTGTTCGATACAGTTGGGGGAACCAGCTAACATAGAACACTGTTTCCCCAGACAAGTTATTACTTACATGAGTTTTCTTATTGAACTAACTTGTCTTTATACAGGGAACAGTTATATGATAAAAGTGTTATGTACTGGTAGGGAACCAGTATGTACTGTTTCCATGGTTGCTACGTGGTACAGCAGTCACTTACTTTATGTTGTGCATTAACCATGTTACATGTGCAGTAGTTGAGTTGATTCCAAGACTTGGAGCATAGAAGTCTTTCGAAGATATTTCGAAGAAAGATTGTTTGCTCATAATAGAAGTATTCAAGGAAGATTCAAGTCTTGAAGATTACATGAAGAAAAGACGATTTATGCTTTAATATGTTATCTAGGTTTTCATGTAATATGCTCCGTAGTATGCTTGCATGTTTGGGTTATATAAGTGCTTAAAAGTATATTGAAGTATGATATGAAATCTGGTACAAAGTTGGAACAGGTTTCATAACATGTTTCAATTCAGGGAACCAGGTCGGGGAACCAGGTTCACTGTATTCGAGCTGCCGTTTTGGAAAAAGATTTTACAAAAAGATTTTTTCGAAAAGATTATTTTGAAAATATTTTGTGCAGCTGGAAATAAGATGAAATATTCTTGGTTACCTAAAAACTAGGAGTATTTATCTTAATTGATTCTATCTTTGTGATTAAATCAAATAAGATAAAAACTTTCCTAAAATTACATTATATCTTATTCTCTAAGATTGTGTGATTTAAGGAAACTAGGTTTTAGGAATCTAAGCTTATATAAACTCATCTTATTTCACATATTTCGTGTGCCTCTCTAGAAATTAAAGGAGCAATTATTTGAGAGCATATACTTAAGCACTAATCCCATTCATCAAGTCATATACAAGAGCATTCTAGTACTTAAACTTTTTCTCTTAATTAGCTTCGTTGAAGTGAGATCAAAGGGGAGTTCTTGATTCTTGTATTGAGTCTTTAACAAAGGGGTTAAAGGCTGGGTGAGTGTTTGTGAGTTCAAACACATTGGGCTTACGAGTGTAAGTCGAGAGCACACTCGGAGTAGAGTGTGGGGTTTGCTGGTTCCCGGAGTAGGGAACAGCAGAGTGTTCTTTGTCTTTGTTTTTCGGAGTAGATTAATAAAGAACTTAGGATAGGAGGACGTAGGCCTGAGTTGGCTGAACCTCGTTAAATTTGTTGTGTTCTTTATTGCTTTGTTTTATTTCGTTAAATTTGTTGTCTTCTTTATTGCTTATTTATATTCCGCTGCGTACGGGAACCAGCACAACTGGTTCCTCACACATAATCCGAAAAGAAGCAAAATTAGCCAACGATTACTTAACACTCAATTCACCCCCCCCTCTTGAGTGCCCATTGAACCTTCAGTTTCATACTTGTAGTACTTCCTATTTAATCTGCTGTCAATTTGTTAGTGCTTTCACTTTTGTTTCCTTGTTGCATGTTTACCTAATTTTGTTATATTTTAAAACTATATTATGTGCTTAGTTAGCGTGCTTTCAATCGTTTATCATTGATGATGTTTTCTAATTATTGTATACAATTGAGTAAATGACAGTTGTGATGTACACCATCGATCCATACTAAGCGACTACCTATCTAATTGTTAATATGTTATTGTACGTGCACTACAATCATGAACAACATCAAATTTTAGAAGAGAAAAAAATCTCCTAATAATCAATATTGAAGGTAAAGGAGAGAAAATATAAAAATTATTAGCTTATTATAAAATGAAATTAGAAATATTTTAGCTGTGTAATTAACCACATGTGAAAGAGAGTAATAAATTAAATGAAGGGACTAAGTTTTTAACTAAGGGACTATTTTTTTACTCACCTTTAGTTACTTTTGGTCGGAAATTGGATTATAGGTCCCAAACGGTGAAAAAAAAGAGTTGAGGTCCCAAAAGGTGAAAAAATCAAAAACTTAGACCCCAATGTTATACTTAACTGCTATAACTTTAGTTTTGCCATGGATAGGGTTCTAATTTCTAATGGTTATTCAATTTTCCCTAATAAGTTTTCCAATTGTTTAGTTGTTTTGTCATGTACTCGTATATAATTTTATGAATATAATGTTTTTCGTCACAAGGCAAAAGGGTCTTGGGGCTTTTTAGTTAAGTAAAAAAAACCTCAAACACTATTATACACCCGATTTTTGTAAAAGCTTGTATACGACGTGTTCTATCACTTGATTCCATCCAACAAATTCTCATTTTGATTCTCATAAAGGTTTAATAAATATCCGATTGACCTTTTGAAAAAATTGGTATGCTTAGTGTGTGACTCGTTGGTTTTTATTAAAGTTGAAACTAAATAAACAAAAGAACAAATCATACGAATAAGACCACTAGAGGAGTGGCTACAATTAAGTACATCTATAAGAAGAAAACACAGCCTAAGTAGAAAAGCTGAGGCTGCATTGAGTCCATTCTGATGAATATCTTTAATATATTTGACAAAGGCCTAGCTATAAGTCTATAACTAGCTACTTTGTACGAGTTTAGGCTTTCTTTATATCAGTAGCTTTCTCAAGGTTTAGGCTTATAGCTTTTTAACCAAAATGCTTGTTAGGTATTCTTACAAAAGTAAATTTTAAAATAATACTCCGTATTTGTTACTTAAAATAGTAAGCGCGTTTGAAATAATAAGTAAATTTTGAAAAAAAAAAATTGCTCAAGTATTTTACCCTTTTCACTTTGCAAAATTTTGTAATGGTTGGTTTTTGGATTTATATAATGAATGGAACTAAAGCATTATCACATCAGTTCATCAGTATAAGCTAGTTGTACAACACTAGATATATAGTGGATAGGGAAGTGTGATTTTGGAGTGCAATTATTATTTTGCTTGAATTGTTATTCTAACTACTCAGTAATTTTGGAGTGCAATTATTATTTTGCTTGAATTGTTATTCTAACTACTCAGTAATTTCTAAGCTGTCAAAACAAACTACTCAGATTTTAAAGTAAATCTGTAAAATCCAAAGGATTTTCCATTTTCCCCCAATCTATCACCCCGATTTTTGTAAAAGCTTGTATACGATGTGTTCTATCACTTGATTCCATCCAACAAATTCTCATTTTGATTCTCATAAAGGTTAAATAAATATCCGATTGACCTTTTGAAAAAATTGCTATGCTTAGTGTGTGACTCGTTGGTTTTTATTAAAGTTGAAACTGTTTGGGCCTAGTCCATTGTCCTAAGCCCAGTGACCTGGAATTACGAAAACACCCCTCCATGATCCAGCCCATCATTAGTCAGAGCAAAGTACGGATTTATCCCTAATCTGTCCAATTAAGTACAACTTCTGCCACCTGAAAGTACATCTATAAATAGCTCTCCAATCATTGATGATGGTAACTTTTTCCTAATTCTCTAATTCTCTCTTTCTACTTTCTCTCTCTAGAAAGTACATTCGCTGACTTCAGCATCGGATGGGCTTTCCTGGGTCACACCCCCGGGGCAGTTAACCTTCTTTCTCTTTTGCAGGCCTAGCTCTCGGACAGCAAGGCATAGCTGAGGGAAATTCGGACATTCATTGGACATAGCTCTAGGACATCTTGATTACCCTTATTACCCTAAGACTCCCAGGAGCATTCTGTTTCCAGAAACAGGTGGCGCCGTCTGTGGGGATAACTAACAAAAAGTCATGGTGAACACTAGGCGTCCCCGCAGCACTAATCAAGATGCTATTAGGCTAGCTCCAATTCTCTCGGCTAGGAACCCTCACGTAGTCGAGGAGATTGTACCTAGGGCTCGTAGTGAACCTGAGAGAGAAGTGAACAGCCCCCAGGTGGTCACTCGCCGAGACTTGGACCAGCTGACAGCCCAAATCAACAGAAACTTGGAGGAAAGCCTTAGGGCACTTATCAACCAAGGGGTGGGGCAAGGCAGACAGGGGAGCGCTCCACAGCCTAATCCTCCGCCTCACGTGTCCCATCTCCATCAAGCCTCCTCTCGGACTCAGCATCAGACATCTCGCCGTTCTCAGCCCAATCAGTCCCATGACCCCCAGCGGGAGACAAGGCAGCCAAGCAGGCCAAGAGATGCTAGAGAGATCATCAATGACCAAAGGCTGAAGGATGGCACTCTAGATGCCCGAGAGATAATCAACTCCAAGAGGGAGAACTCCAAGGAAGATAACAACCCCCCCAGAGAGGTAGAACTAGAGTTCACTCTCGGCATGGGTCAACAAGGTACCGAGATAGCATAATTCACTCAGCTACCTCCAGACCAAGAAGAGGAACCGATCAGCCCGCTTGTTCAGTAAGCAAAAGCCCCGAGCGTCCTTCCTCCCCCAGGCCACGGAGGCTTGGGATTGTTAAGAACATCACCCCCTTCAGCCAGGAGATAATGAATACCCCTATTCCTCCTAAGGTCAAGATCCCTACATTGGACCCTTATGATGGAAAGACGGACCCAACGAACCATCTGAATGCTTATAAAGCACAGATGGGAGTCCAAACCGGGTGTGAGGCCTCATGGTGTAGGTTCTTCCCTACTACCCTCAAGGGCATAGCTCAGACATGGTTTAACAACCTTACCCCCGGGAGCATAAGAACGTTTGACATGATAGCCACTCAGTTTAAAAAGCACTTCATCGCTGGGAGTAGGCAAACAAAGACTAGCGTTCATTTGATGACGGTGAAGCAAGGGGAGAATGAAAGTCTTAAGGACTACATCAAGAGGTTCAACACCGAGTCTCAGCTCATCCCCGACCTCCAAGATAATGTTGCTTTCACAGCCCTTCTCGTCGGGCTCAAGTCTAACAAGCTGAAGTTTGAACTTGTCCATGACAAGGTGAGCACCTTCTCTGAAGCCATGGAAAGAGCTGAAAGGATCATTGAAGCTAGTGAGGTGTGCAAGGCGCCCGTAGAAAACAACAAGGGGAAGAGGAGGCAAGAAGACAACTACCATGACAACAGGAATAGAAGACCGAGGAGGGCTGAGAGTGATGACGAAGGACCCAAGTACAATGCTGATAGGCGTGAGATATATTTGGACATAAAGCACAAGGCTATTCTTCCTAAGCCTAACCCCATGAATACGCCGATAGAGCAGAGGAACAAGAAGCTGTGGTGTGAATACCACAAGGAGTGTGGTCATACCACCCGGAGCTGCAGAGAGCTCAAGAGAGCCCTTGACAAGCTAGATGAAGAAGGAAAGCTTAATAGATATCTCAAGTCCCCCCTGAATGATAAGCAAAGCGGGGCTTCCAAGGAAGTGCAAGAGGCCCACAGCTCAGCTGACACTAATATCAGCATCAATGTCATAGCCGGAGGGTTTGGCTCCAGGGGTTTGTCTAACAGGGCACGCAAAAGTCACTTGCGGTCGCTCGAAGAGCCCATCTATGATATCGGCACTCCCTCATCTACCCCGAAGGACCCCCTCATGGTATTCGGGGATGACAAAGGAAAGAAGATTCAAAGGCCTCATGATGACCCCTTAGTGATTCATATGAAGGTGGTCAATGCTAAGGTGAAGAAGATCTTAGTAGATAGTGGAAGTTCAGCAGATATCATCACATGGAAATGCATCGAGCAAATGCATTTTGGAAAAGGTGACCTTACACCCCTGGAAAAACCCTTAGTGGGATTTGGGGGGCATCATGTGTACCCCTTAGGAACAATCAAGCTTCTTGTCCGTTTGGGGGAAAAAGAGAAGGGGAGAAGTTTGGTTCACACGTTCTTAGTTGTGGATACCCCTCTGCCATACAACATGATTCTTGGCCGACCCCTTCTCAATAGGGTTAAGGCTGCCATCTCAACCTATCACTTACTCCTCCAATTCGAGACCGATGACGCATCGGTAGGCAAGATATTTGGAGATCAGTTTGAGGGAAGAAAAAGCTATGTAGATAGCTTGAAGTCACCTGAGAGTTCCGTCAATCAGGAAGACAAGGGGGCCAAAAGGAAAGCGATGGATATTGATGAACCTCAGCACCCGATCATGAGCATCTACATGGCCGAGAGCCCAAAGCAGTATGGTAGGCCTAAGCCTATTGAAGAGGATGAGAGCATACCCTTAGGGGATGACCCCGCTCGGACCATGAGGGTGGGAAAGAACCTGGACCCCCAGCTCAAGAAAGAAATCATTCAAGTACTTGGAGAGTACAAAGACATCTTTGCTTTTACAGCAAATGGAATACCGGGCATAGATCCCGAGGTGATAACTCACGAGCTGAACATCTAGGAGGGCTACAAGCCTGTCAAGAAATGATGCCCTAGGGGCAATAAGAGCCGATGCTAGGATATCAACTTCAATATAGCGCATCATTGCAATGACTTTCATCTTTTTAATGAAAAACCCCCGGTTGGGATGTTTGCCCCATTTATTTTTATATTTGTTATTCATTGTTTACTTAGTTTATTTTTGAAACTTTTATATCGCTCATTAGCACATCCAACGTTCATTTAATAGCACCATATGCCGGGCATAAGGCATTTTTGGTTCGCTAACACTAAAGTTTAATCCAATGTTTGGGGCAAGATGCTAGCCTATACTCAAACTTTGAGATAGAGTCCTGGCCAAAAGATCACTCATAACTTGGGGCTCGTTTAGCCCCCAGCCTAATTTAAAAGGTTGGAAAGGCCTAACTCTTATAACTTGGGGCTTATGTTAGCCCCAAAATCGTTTCACTTCGTTATACAAGCAGGGATAGCCCAGCTCTCATATCACTCATAAATTGGGGCTCGTATAGCCCCTAGTCCATTTACTTAGTTAAATTATAACTTGGGGCTCGTTTAGCCCCCGGATGTTCACACAAATCATGTACTTGCAAAAATAACATAAGGCTCGTTTAGCCCTCGTTCATACCAAAGTCACTTGGAAAGCCTAGGGGCTTCTTTTTAGCCCCTAGGGGTGGATGAGCAAGCAAAAAACAAGTGATAAACAATAAACAAGCTGGAGTAAGAACCCATGAAATCTACATCAATAAGAAAAGCCAAAGTAAAAGTCGAATGTGCAAATATACAAGCCGAGCTAGAGATTCAAAGTTCCAACAAAAATTATCACAAGTCTCATGAAAAAGAAGACGTCCTAAAGAAATAGGTGAAGACAAAGCCAAGGGCTAGAGAAGCTACTCCTCGGCCATACCCTCTTCAGCGAGCACCTTCCTCTGCTCCTCCTCATCGGCCTCGCGAACAAGGTCCTTAATCTTGCCTCGTACCTTAGGGTACGAATCCTGGAGGCCGAAAGAGGTAAAAGAAACCTGCATATGAGTCAGGGCATCCTCAATCCCCGCCTCAAAGGCCACATATCCAATCTCAGACTGGAAATCAGTACAAGCCGAAGACTTCTTCCATTCAGCAATTACCTCCTCCTAGCTTTGCTCCACTTTCCTCCGAGCCTCAACAAGATCACTCTTCATCCGGGCCAGCTCGTCTTTCCTCTCCTTCAGCTCTTTGGCGATCAGCTCCTTCCCTTCCTTAGCTTCCTTGAGCTGAGTCTCCAGGGCTTGAATGTGGGATGTCCCGACCTCCTAGGCATCAGCAAGCTCCTTCTTGGGTGTCTTCACCGTCTCTCGAGCCGAGTTAAGCTCCTCCTTGAGGCCATGGATCTCGGTCCTAGCCTTTGAAAGCTCAGCACGGATACCCTCAACATCCTGCATGGCCCCCCTCCGGTACTCCTCGGCGAGCACACTCAAAGTCATGCCGACCTACATTTTCAAAAAGACAAGAAGATGATGGTTAGATGCAACCGAACTAAAGATAGAGAAATTCGATGTTATATAGCAAAACATACCTTCAAGACGCCATCAAAGGCCGAGGAGATAGCCTTGTTGGGATCCTTCTTCACCACCTCGATATCCTTTGCTGAAGGGAATCGGACCATGGTTTGCTTTATCGTCTTCTTCCGACCCCTCTTTGTGATGCCGAGGAGAGATTCAGGAAAGTAAGGAGTCATGTCCTCGTAATCTTCCCCCCCTTCCTCCTCGCTCTCCTCTTCCCGAGGCTGCTTTCCTCGATCCCCAAAGCCCTCGGCCTCTAGGAGCTCGATGTGAGTGGAGCCGGTCGGGGAGACAAGCTGAGACCCCAGATCATCTATCTCCATGTTGGAGGTGGCTTGGGAGGATCCTTCTCCCCTCTCAGCCGTTTTCCTCCTCAACTTTGAATTCTTCGGGTTCTGAAAGAACAAATCACAAGTGAAGTTAGTAAAAAAGCGACATTTCATAAAACCAACTTCAAAGAAGTGGGCATACCTAGGGAGGGGGAGGAATGCTCATGTTCCCCTTACTCATGGAGACCTTGACCTTTCCAGCTCGAAAGTTGACCTCCGACATCTTCTTCTGAAATCTCTTTGTCAACTGCTTGAAAGCAACACCTGAAATCATCATTTGCACAAGTTTGTTAGTGAACAACAAGGCTCATGAGAATGCATAGAAATGAAAAACATAAGTAAACAAAAATAAATCCTACCACTATCATAGGTGTGGCTCAAGCCCACCACATCAAAAACCGCTCTTTCTGAAAGTGTCTATCCTTCAAAATCCACGTGGTTGGAAGCTTCTCTTTGGATCCTCTTTCCTTATATGATTGCAACCAAACAGCTATCACGGCCTCATCGACTTCCATGGCAAGAACATTGTAGTTCAAGCCAACCCTAGGCACACCGCTATGGTCTCGGGGAACCCTCCAACCCCCAGCATGGTAAATGAAGAGAAAATTGTGCAAAAGCCCTTATGACTCGTGGGTTTAGTGTTTATAGTAAGATAGAACTCCCTATCGTGAATAGCATACCACCCATGGTTATCTACATTTCCTGGGGCTTCCTGGAGCCTATGTGTGTTTCTAAAAGCGGTCATGGTGTACGGGGCTCCAAGTAGACTACAAGTGGATATGTACGCATTTATCGTCAACCAGGAGTTAAGAACAAGCTGGGTTACACAGAGGTTATACTCAATCAACAACTCCTCAACAAAAGGGTGTGCGAAAATGTTGAGCATACCCAAGCCAAAAACCAAATTCAAAATTGAAAATTCATATCTAAATTCGAAAATTCATAGAAATTCCAAGTACATAAACACCTAGACAGGCTTTCGGATCTACAAATTCGAATCAAAAGTGAAGAATTTTCACATACCTCTTGAAGATCTTGAAGAACTTGGATGAACACCGATTGATGTGACTTGAACACTCAAACTCTCAAACACTTGGGAGGAAATTAGAGGGGATTTTTGAGAAATTCTCTAAGGCAAATGATGAGTGAGAAACAAATGAATAATGTGGGAGTTCATATGTTCAAGCTAAGGAGATGGAAATTCCTCAAAACCCTGGTTTAAATGGGCCTAAGTGATCCTTGAGCCCAGAAAGTCACCATTGAAGAATTAAGCTTAGTTACCAGCTTAATTAGCAGGGAATCATCATCAGATTGTCTCTAGAAATCCCTAGCTCAGTCAAAATTAAAGACAAAATATGCCTTCAGCAAATCACACGGGGCTCAGCCTGAAGAAAATATTCCGAAAGTGGAAATTTCATCAGTTACCCCTAAGCCATCATCAGGCTTAGCTCTCAAAACTGCTCAATCATCTGAATTAAAGTACCTTCTATGCATTGCTTGGGGCTGGTTTTCACCCTTGCAAGTCGCTTGGGGCTCTTTTTAGCCCTCAGATACCCTTGGGGCTCGTTTTAGCCCTTAGGTACGCCTCGGGATTTACTTCAGCATATGTGACAACTTCTCTCATCTCTATTCCGCGTGATATCCGAACTTCATGCGATCTCGTTTCCACATCACGCGTGGGGCTAAATGTTTGGGCCTAGTCCATTGTCCTAAGCCCAGTGACCTGGAATTACGAAAACACCCCTCCATGATCCAACCCATCATTAGTCAGAGCAAAGTACGGATTTACCCCTAATCTGTCCAATTAAGTACAACTTCTGCCACCTGAAAGTACATCTATAAATAGCTCTCCAATCATTGATGATGGTAACTTTTTCCTAATTCTCTCTCTCTAAAGTACTCTTTCTCTCTCTACTTTCTCTCTCTAGAAAGTACATTCGCTGACTTAAGCATCGGAGGGGCTTTCCCGGGTCACACCCCCGGGGCAGTTAACCTTCTTTCTCTTTTGCAGGCCTAGCTCTCGGACAGCAAGGCATAGCTGAGGGAAATTCGGACATTCATTGGACATAGCTCTAGGACATCTTGATTACCCTTATTACCCTAAGACTCCTAGGAGCATTCTGTTTCCAGAAACAGAAACTAAATAAACAAAAGAACAAATCATACAATAAGACCACTAGAGGAGTGGCTACAATTAAGTACGGAGTAATTAACTACATCTATAAGAAGAAAACGCAGCCTAAGTAGAAAAGCTGAGGCTGCAGCAGCTTTATTGAGTCCATTCTGATGAATATCTTTAATATATTTGACAAAGGCCTAGTTATAAGTCTATAACTAGCTACTTTGTACGAGTTTAGGCTATCTTTATATCAGTAGCTTTCTCAAGGTTTAGGCTTATAGCTTTTTAACCAAAATAATACTCTGTATTTGTTACTTAAAATAGTAAGCGCATTTGAAATAATAAGTAAATTTTGAAAAAAAAAATGCTCAAGTATTTTACCTTTTTCACTTTGTAAAATTTTGTAATGGTTGGTTTTTGGATTTATATAATGAATGGAACTAAAGCATTATCACATCAGTTCATCAGTATAAGCTAGCTGTACAACACTAGATATATAGTGGATAGGGAAGTGTGATTTTGGAGTGCAATTATTATTTTGCTTGAATTGTTATTCTAACTACTCAGTAATTATTATTTTGCTTGAATTGTTATTCTAACTACTCAGTAGTTTTCTTACTCCTTTCTTTATTACGGAGTACTGATCATTTTCTACTCCTCAAATTGTTCTTTTGCTCTCTTTGGTTTCTCTACTCTTTCTTATTACTCTTCCTGCTGAACTCAAGGGTTGTGGGCCTGTTCAATCAGCCACAACCCCCTTGAGAGCTACCCAAACAGTCAGCCCAAGTGCTACTATACCTCACTTCAGCCACAAAATCACGAGCCACAACCACCCCCTTCTTCTTCTATTGTCACACAAAGTAAACATGGCATTGTTAAACCAAACCCGAAATATAAAAATTTCAATACTATGGTTTCTACTGTTACGAAATCTCCTCTTCCTCGTAACCCCATTTCTGCTTTACATGACCCAAATTGGAAAATGGCTATGGATGATGAATTTAATGCTCTTATTAATAATAAGATGTGGAAGTTGGTGCCCCGTCCGCCTGATGTTAATGTTATTCGTTGTAAGTGGATTTTTACTCATAAAGTGAAATCTGACGGTTCTTTTGAGAGGCATAAAGCCCGTCTTGTAGGTGATGGAAAAACACAACAGGTGGGAATTGATTGTGGGGAGACTTTTAGCCCGGTGGTCAAACCGGCTACCATCCGTACTGTGCTTAGCTTGGCAAATTCATTAGCTTGATGTTAAAAATGCTTTTTTGCATGGTGAGCTTAATGAGACTGTCTATATGCATCAACCTCTTGGTTTCCGTGATCAGACTCATCCTGATTATGTATGTTTGCTGCGGAAATCTCTATATGGTCTTAAACAGGCACCCAGGGCTTGGTATAAGCGCTTTGCTGATTTTGTTACTTCTATTGGTTTACTAATAGCAAGAGTGACAATTTTCTCTTTATTTACCGCGATGGCTCGAATGTGGCTTATTTGTTGCTATATGTTGATGACATTATTCTTACAGCTTCCTCTAATGCTCTAAGGCGTTCTATTATTGCTCTTCTTAGCAAGGAATTTGCTATGAAGGACTTGGGTCTTCTAAATTATTTTCTTGGCATTGCTGTGACAAGGCATAAGGGTGGATTATTTTTGTCACAACGTAAGTATGCTGAGGAGATTATTGACAGGGCCGGGATGAGTTCGTGCAAATCTTCGGCCACTCCTGTTGAGGCAAAGCCGAAAGTCAGTGCATCAGGCTCCCCTTTTGCAGATCCCTCCTTGTATCGTAGCCTTGCTGGGGCGCTACAATATCTTACTTTTACAAGGCCGGATATTTCCTATGCTGTGCAACAGGTATGCTAACATATGCATGACCCGAAAAAAACTCATATGGCTGATCTTAAACGCATCATTCGGTATGTCCAAGGTACTCTTAACCATGGTTTGCATCTTTATCCATCATCTATTTCTACACTTGTATCATATACAGATGCTGATTGGGGTGGGTGTCCCGATACGAGACGTTCCACATCTGGATATTGTGTTTTTTGGGGTGATAACTTGATATCTTGGTCATCTAAACGACAGGCTACTCTCTCCAAGTCTAGTTGTGAAGCAGAGTACAAAGGTGTGGCTAATGTAGTTTCGGAGTCATGTTGGCTTCGTAATTTGTTGTTGGAGTTACATTGCCCGATTCAAAAGGCAACCTTGGTTTATTGTGATAATGTGAGTGCTATCTATCTTTCGGGTAATCCAGTGCAACATCAGCGTACCAAACATATTGAGATGGACATTCTTTTCGTTCGTGAAAAGGTGGCTAGAGGTGAAGTGCGAGTCCTCCATGTTCCATCTAGGCACCAAATTGCAGACATCTTTACAAAAGGACTACCCCGGGTATTATTTGAAGATTTCAGAGATAGTCTAAGTGTCCGTCCTCCTCCTACTTTGACTAAGGAGGTGTGTTAAGATATATTAGAATAATATATCTTTAGTCTTGTGAATATTTAATTAGTTGCCTAACTTATAGCTTAGAATTAGTCTTGTATTTAGCCGTTGCCTAATTTGTTGCCTAATTAGTAGCTAGTGATAGGCTCATGTAATTGTATATATTTACAGTGAATGGAAAGAAATGATCACGGAATGAATTTCTTTAAATTGTACTACAAATAATAATTTAATAAACAAAAAGGATTAGTACTTTAATGAAGTAATTCTCACAATCAACTTACTATTCCAAAAACTTAAATAAATACAAATAAATAAAAACTAAAAGAGTACAACTAATCTTAATCTTACCTAAGACTTAAAAGGAGGATTGAGGTCAACACAAAAGAGATAGTAGAAGAAATCATCAAATGTAATAGACTTCCTAGTGCACAAGGAGGATTGAGCAAACATATTCTCTACCACTTAAATCATATAACAATATAAATTACATACAAGAAGATCCCTTTCATGAGATGATCTACAAACTATACACGATAAAAGTGCACAACATATATATAAAATATAAATCGTTTATATCTAAGTCTAGATTAAAAAAAAAAATTATCATACAAATTCAAGTCTCATTAGAAGTTTTACCGAATTGAATTTTTCTCCCTTACGACTATACAAAGGAATTGCATGGACTCCAGGTCTTAATTCAGACACAGGTAAACAAGTTTGTCCACCAAAATCATCTTTCTTGTCGTTATCATGCTCATGAACTTCAACTCTTAACAATGCTAATTCAGGGACTGTTAGTGGAAAGGTGAACTCTTCATTCCAAATGGGGATCCATTGATCATCCTTAATCGCCGTCATCTGCATTGTTTCATCTGCTGGAACTCCTGCTATACCAACCTGCCATAAATTTTATACCAATTATATTGCAACCAGTACTAAATTTATGAAAACGCGCTATAACATTAGTAGTGAATTATTACTAGCAACTAATAGATGATCCGACTTACTTTGGTATAAAAATCTGGTGGGGAATACTTGTCAAAATGAGTTTTCTTGAAGTCCATTCTCCAACCATCTCCCATGTAAATTTTCACCTGTTTTCATTACCCGAGCTTATGGTTTAGGTCGATTGTTGATCAATGAACATAAATGAAAACTCTTAAGTGAAGGAGTTTAGCATGATTTGAGAGTTTATAAAAAGTTAACCTTTAACTTTGTCTTCAAGGGTAGTTTTACTTTAGGATCAAATACTTGATTACCATCAACCAAGAAATCGGGTTTTTTGACATAGCCACATCCTCCGTTGCCTCTAAACATCCCGTGCATTTGCCAGAGCATTTTTCCATACCCCTGCATTAACAACATAATAGCTAACATTTAGAATGAAGGCTTACTACTTATCAAGACTGATTAATGCTAATCGAGTCTAGTATGAAGTATTGTGCTACTTAATTAGAAAAACAGAATTGAAGGTTAAAAAATAACCTGCATGTTAAACGCAACCATTTGAGCTCCGTGCATCCAACCAACAAAGGGATCATAGTTTGAAGAGTTAAAGCGAGTGCCCTTTGGGTAAATCCTTAGGATATTCTTTTGCGTAAATCTGAAAAGGATGAATATTATTATAAGGCCTTATGTTCAACTTTCTAAAATGAGTTCCAATCAATAATAATCATCAGATATACTCCTAAACTAAGTAAATAGCTAGGCATATCTCGTTTTACCTTACAAGATCCTGTCCTTGTGAAACAACTGCTTTTTCGAGTTTTTGTTCACTCAAACTAATTCGTACAGCTTTACCAAGATCATTCTTAACTGCTTCTTCCAACTTACACTTTCTCTGAGGAATAGCAATCACTGACTTATACGCGGTTGGTTCAAACCGCTGTGATTTATCTTGGCTAATGTAACCATTTCCATTTATTTCATCATGCTCACTTTCAGACATATCAATAATCTACAAGATGCATTATTAAATTCACATAACAAAGTATTAGTCTAATGAATAAAAAATTGTAAATAATAATCTGTTTTCGATAAGCTAATAGAGCACCTTACGGTGTGATGGATGTTCAAGATCCCTCTCTGAAGAATTACTACTGACATTAACCATCTCAGTTTCAGCCTGACGACACTCTTTTGGTGGTTTCGTCGAAATAAGTATCTTATGCTTTAAATCTTCAGGGGAAGGAAATTCTTCAGGGTAAACCGAGGGAGGGTAGTACAAGAATTCTCCAAATGTTTGTGTGATCAACTAATGAATAGGAAAATCAAAAGTTGGCAACAAATAAACTTATTAGTAACAAAATATTACAAGACAGTACAATAATATAAGTTAACTTAATTAATAGTGATACCTGAGCAGCTTTGGCTTGAAGTCTTGGTTTCAAGTGATCTTCAAGTGTTATAATAACAGGATATTCTGATGATTCAAATGCATGATCTTTAATTGCTTTGAGACATGTTAAGAGGTCCACTGGAGTTGTAAGGGTTCTTTGATTCCAACATACAAAAGGCGGAATGTTAGATCCATAATATGATTTTACTAAACGACCCTTTATAAATAGTCGGGCTAATCCTAGTTCTTTATTTCTAATTTATGTTTTATCACCCGATATTTGGGTTAAGGTAACAAGTATTACACACGTACCATTATATCATATATTCGGGGATAAAAGAATGAGATAAGAAAAGAACCTGCCATGAAGAACATTGATGCCATCTTTGTTCGAGTTAGACCACAAATCGAGCTCAATGACTCGAACACCTTGCTTTAATGCTTTTATTATAAGTTTATCACTACAATCACTGGTTAATTGATTCCCAGTGAGATATGAATTATGACCAGTGTATATGAAGTAATGTGACAAGGGTGCAGTCATATCTTGATGACTCTACATAAACAACACAACTAGTATTTAGTGTAAGTAAGTAAATTACATCGTTAGAAATTAAATACAACATACAAGTATTTGACAACAGAGTATACACTAGGCATAATGACATTACTTTGGCAAACCATGGAGTACCAAACTTTTCGTATTAAAATTCCGACATAAATTTTGGGTACCAAACTTTAACCGACAAAACTAGTTGACATCCACCTCATATCAAATTGTTGGAGGACAATTTATCCAATCTTGACATCAAACTCATGTTTGTTTTTTATTTTGTTTGTACCAACCATTTTTATCTATCCATGACATATAATTGGATATGGATATTGGCCCATTTTTAAAATGTGCCAAATTTCTCAATACTACCACGGTTATAAAAGATAAAAGCCCAATTTTCAAGTCCATTATCATTACTATGTACGACAAAAGGTAGAAAAGACACCATTTTTACACAAAGAAGACCCACTCTCATTCTTAATTACCTCTAAATACTTAATTATCTTCTAATTGAATTATATGAAGCATTTATATCTAGGTGCTAATGAAATAGTACATGAGAATAATAATTTTAAGCAGATGTAACACATACATTTGCGACAAAGTTGGTCAACATAATTTCTCTAATTAGTGATTAAATTAGTAAAGACAAGTGTACTACAAAGAATAATAAACAAAAGGACTAGTACTTTAATGAAGTAATTCTCACAACTTGATATTCCAAAAACTTAAATAAATACAAGTAAATAAAAACAAAAAGAGTACAACTAATCTTACCTGAGACTTGAAAGGAGGATTGAGGTCAACAGAGAAGAGATAGTAGAAGAAATCATCAAATGTAAGAGACTTCCTAGTAAACTTAGCAATGTGATGCCGTTGATTCAATACTTCCTCCACTATTTTTTCGGCATCGGCGATCGTAGTCTCATGACCACCTTGCACCTCCACTAGGAAGCGCCGGAGTTGGTCCGGCGCCATGTAAGCTCCACCATTAGTATACTTCTTGAAAAGGTCTCTTACTTCAGAAGGCGGTTCGAGGTCTATTAACCCGAACCGCCTTGTGAAGCATAAGCACACTCTATAGCTCCCCATTAATAAAAAATATTGATCTTTTTAGTATTATAGATTTGAATGAAATGTGAGTTAAAAGGAAGGAGGAGAAAGAGGGTGTTTATATATGTGCTTATAATAGTCAAAGGAAGTTAGATCTATATAGATGTTGCTTGGAAAAACATATGCGCGGAACTTTTAATATTTTTAATCTTGTGAATTTGTGAAACATGACGAAACCACCATGATGGTAAATGATGGTCATTGATTAATAGCAAAACAAACAAACAAAAAAATGGCCATTGATTAGCTCACATAATAACTAATTAATTAAGTAATTAACTAATATGGAGTACATGTATTATGATAAAAAGTGTGTACATCCATTAATTTTAATATATACGAGCATAAATTAAAAGAAAAAAAGTGTAATAAATGAGACGACGGTTGAAGCACATGTGCTTATTTTTAGTCAATGGAAAAGTTGTACTCATATTGATTACGTTTATTATTTAGTAATTTTTTTTTACCTTTTGTTGATTTAGAGATCTATTATCAAATTCTCTATATGTCAATAATTATTACATAGAGAGTACTCACATATATAGGTTGAAAATATACATCGTACTACCTAATTCACATCCATAAAGATTGAAAAAATCATTATTGTAAGTTGTAAAATAAGTTAGTTTGGTTGAGGATGGAGCTAAGGCAAGGCAAGCCAATGGGAACATGAGTTGTATGGTCAGTTTTGCCATTCAAATATTCAACACGGGAGAAATTCATTTTTCTAAATAATTGTCTCTCTTTGATTATGACTTGTAATATGTCTATATACTTTATTATGATTACAACATATTTACAGTTTAATGAGTTTATATATGAAAAGTAACTGATTTTAAGGTTTAATAATTGTGTAGAAGTTTAACTTTAAGGATGAGTATTATATAAGAAGAGAATAAATAGTTTTAGCAATAGTCAAAGTAAGATCTCTAAAATCGTGCCATAGCCTAATAAAATGGGGTTAAATTTAAACAGAAAAACCCCAACAACTAAGGGGACGTGATCTTATTTTGAAGGAATATCAATATTACCAATTTACCATATAATATAAACAAGGGTTTACCTACCCTTCCCCCTCTAAATACTAGACCAAAAAAACCGTGACCTTTAAATACTGGACTAAAAAAACCATGAGGGTTGAGATCAAGAATCTTCTCTTTACCATAAAATATAGACAAGGTTTACCTAATCCACCAATTGACAATATTAATCTGACCTCATTGATCTGTACGACTGTACAGCTTCTGCATTAAGTTATTTAAAATTGACCTTGAAAATAAAAAAAGAACCTGGTTCAGAGATGTCCAACATCAATATAGAATAGTTATTCAAATGAGCTAGCCCATGGATAAAAATTTGGATCACAAACTTCTCGAAAACAGGCCCAATTCTCAGGCTTTAGTCCAATTTCATACTTAAAAGCCATTTTATACCAATTCTATTTGCTCCATAACTTTCTTATTATACTCTGTATTATAATTGTCTAAGCCAACTTGCAAAAGTGCACCCTTACTAACAAGACTGAAACCGTGAACTCTTGGGTATCACATGACTTATATGTGAAGACTGAAGCGTCTGAGGGGATTAAAACAGGGGCTATTATAGGTAGAATAAGAAGCAGAAGCCATTAATGCATACAAGAGGTGATCAACGTTGATAACGTAATTTGAACCAGAAAGAAATACTAAAACCACGCAATTTATTCACTTCAATGGGCACATAACCAGTAGAACATGATATCCCTATCGCAATAATCAGTAAGAATCAGATAAAGAAGTGACCGAAGAGCCAATACTGTAGTTATCTAGTCAAGACTCGAGAGCTACTTGATATCTTGCATCAGAGCTTTTAATCTGAATAGGGTGCTTAGCATTAACGACTATATAGCACAGGACAACAGCAAACACCAGGCACCAGGAAGGATTACAAACTAGATCGTAGATTACTACTCAATACCATCAATCCTCAACCAATCAAGACCTTGGATTGGAGGCGGGGTGGGGAGTGATGCTTCTTTGGAAGATTTTATTTTATTTTATTTTATTTTTTTGACCAAATGCTTCTTTGGAAGATGATACATTGTAATGACTAAAGGGCAGAAAACAAACCATATTGACCATTCATCTTCATTTGAGAAGCATTCATGTAAACAACTTGGATGAAAAGACAAACATGAACAACGACCCATCACAAATAAAGAAGATATGAATCTCCTAAATTGCAAAATATATCCAAAATTGTGGATTGCAAAGCATCACACTTGTAACCACATAGCTAGATATGTTAACCAATTTATTGAAATGACAACATCCAACCTATTCATCACTTAATGAACTAATTTTTCAGATAGAGTTAGTCAAAGGACAACATACTTGTAACCAAACCACATAACAGTGAATCAATTTATTCTAACACTTTAAACACTATAATCCAAAGTTTTAATTTCTATTCTTCTAGTACAGTATATCAACAAAAACATCAGAAATTAACAAACTTTTCAACAGTTACATGGTTAATATAATATAATTAAGCAAGAAACCATATAAAATAAAGAATTGAATCAGGAAAAAATAAAACCAATTCATTTCATTAGAAAATGCTGAATAACAACATCATATGGTTTTTATCATTCCTTTCCAATTTTAAACTACTATATGAATTCCAAATCCAAAAACAACATAAAACTAATCACTAAAAAAATTAATAAAAATAAAACAAAACATAAACTCTGCCTTTAAATTATTGTTTCTTTATAACTGTAACATTGATTGATTCACTCAGAACGAGCAGCATACCTCTCAACTTTCTCATCATTCAAATTAATCCCAACCATTGCTTCACCCAACCCACAACTGATCTCGGCCAACATCTCCGGATCACTGTAATGCGACACAGCCTGCACAATCGCCCTCGCCCGCCTCGCCGGGTCACCACTCTTAAAGACTCCAGACCCGACAAACACACCATCACACCCAAGCTGCATCATCAACGCTGCATCGGCCGGTGTCGCAACACCACCCGCAGCAAAATGCACCACTGGAAGCCTCCCGAGCTGCTTCGTCTGCATCACTAGATCATACGGTGCACAAATCTTCTTAGCAAAAGTGAAAACCTCGTCATCATCCATATTTCGCAGCACTCGAATATCACCCATTACAGACCTCACATGTCGAACCGCTTCGATAATGTTCCCAGTACCCGCCTCACCCTTGGTCCGAATCATCGCCGCACCTTCTCGAATCCGGCGAAGAGCTTCACCCAGATTCCGGCAACCACAAACAAAAGGGATCTGGAAATTATGCTTGTTGATGTGATTCTCATCATCAGCTAGGGTTAGAACCTCGGATTCATCGACATAATCGACACCAATGGATTCCAGAATCTGGGCTTCGACGAAGTGCCCAATTCGGGCTTTAGCCATGACGGGTATGGTGACGGCCCGTTTGATGTCCTTGATGAGTTGGGGGTCGGACATGCGGGCGACGCCGCCTTGAGCGCGGATGTCGGCGGGGACTCGTTCGAGGGCCATGACGGCGCAAGCGCCGGCCTCTTCGGCGATGCGGGCTTGTTCGGCGTTGACGACGTCCATGATGACGCCGCCGCGGAGCATTTGGGCGAGGCCGACTTTGACGGAGAAGGGGGATTTTTTGTTGGAGGAGGTTTCGGTGATTGCGCCGTTTCCATAGACGGTGACGACGCCGCTTCCTGACATGTTTGGAGGAGAGAGAAAGCTTGGAGGAGAGAGAAAGAAGGAGGAGGAAGAAGGTGAAGGATGAAAGAGGAGAGAGAGTGGAGAAGGAGAAGGGGAATTTATGGATGGATGGGATTTTTGGGGAGGGGAGATTTTCTGAGAATGATAAAACAAAACAAAACAGGGTATTTGTATTTGTATTTGATAAACCGAAGGTAATGAGAGGAGAGAGGGTGACTATCTTTGTCGATTTCTTTCCCGTGGTCTCTGTTTTTTTTTTTTAATGAAAATATAAATAAATTTAAGAAAATGATAAACCCGAACAACTTGTTTTGTGCGCGGCTGACTATACCTAATTTGATAATTCCTGTAATATTGACTAAGTAACATCTTTAATACTATCTGACTAACTTTATTAACAACTTCTATTACATTGATCAACTAATCCCTATAACATTATCGATGTAATACTTATAATGATAGGCCACATATAAGAATTTGTGAAACCTAAAACATACTTCGTATATTTATTTATTTTTATTTTCATAATAATATCTGGGAAAACAGCAAAATTGAAATAGTGTTTTTAATGTGTGGCTGATCACACTAAGTGATCGCTAGGAACGAATTAAGTCTTATAATAATGATGGAATAACCTTTGTAATATTAACACTTACAGAGTAACCACTAAAAAAACTAATGAAGCAACCAATGATAGTTGATCAAACGGTTTGACTAGCCGCATACAAAAATTTGTGAAATTAGGAAATGATCATTATGGATTTTTATTTGTATGATTTTCTTCTACTATGTTCGATTTTTTATGTGATCATGAATTACAATCCTACTAATTTAGAAACAAAGTTAGATGTTTGGGTTGATTTGTCCATTTAAAGTTGATAAATTTTGTGAGTATTTGGGTATGATTTTGTATTTTATTAAGTTAAAAAATGATAAGTTTTGTTTAAGGAAAAAAATATCACATGGGGTTATTTTGAGATAGATAAAAAGGTTAAATTTAAGTTCATGAAAAATAAAATTGATTTCTACTTTAACATTAATTATTCCACTTCCATTTTATTTTTTTTATTTTTTTTTTTTTACAAAAAATGTATACTATAAATCTATAATGGAGGATTTATTTTATATTTTATTTTACATAAATATACAAATCTACTTGATGAGCCACATTTGGTTTATTATTTTCTTTGTCAACAAATAATTGCTTCATTTTCACATGTACAAATACTCTCTTTGTCTTTGCAAACTATTTCCAAAGTTCTAATATCAGGGTTTGGCCCTCAACCCCATGCCTATATATCCTAATTAAGGTTGAATTAAAATCATGATGATATTTATATTTTACCAAAATAATTGGTCATGTGGGTGAGAATAAAAAGGAAAATAGAGATAGAGAATAGGTCGAATCTACTACCTGACTGACATGCAAAGGAGGAGAAGAGAGAAAATTAGGGTGGGTTCACACTATGTTAGTTTCATTTAGTCCTTTTAGTGCATTATTTTAAGCATCTTTGCTATCATTTTAAACAACTCTGTATCAGGGTCGGCCCTTAGGGTGTGCGGCATGCGCAACCGCACAGGGCCCAAAATCGCTTAGGGCCTCAAAGTGTATAATTATATACAAAATTGTTGTACAAATTTCTAGTGTTATTGTTGTGGCTTAGTGGTAAGTATGGTGATACTAAGTCTTGTACATACGTGATTCGAGCATTTTAACTTTTCTTAATTTTAATTTTATAATTTAAAGGTTTGGATATTCTTTCGATTTTCAAATACTTCGTATGTGCTTTACTTTTCATGTTAGTCTTTTTTTTTTCCTATATTTTGGAAGATTGTAACAATATTTATATTTTTATCCCCAATAATGGTCCTTTGACTCAATTTCATTTTTAGAAAATATTACCATTCTCTCTCCTCTTTAGTCTTTACAATAACCCATAAATACTTTTATAACTTATTTTTATTTTTGTTTTTCAACATATTTTGGTCTCTTCAATAGTATTACAAAAACTACATATATTTCTTTATTCTAAACCTCTTCAACAAATAAATCACAGCGGAGCATTTAATAAAAAAAATGCAATATTATTATACGTTACTTAAAAAAAAAGGGGGGTCCAAATGTATCTCAATTGCACAGGCCTCCATAATAGTTAGGACGGCCCTGCTCTGTATAATATATGCTACCATTATGACACATTCAATTATTTTATTACTCGATTGTATATTGTTTTCAAATTTCAAAATTATTTACAAAGATATCAGGTTATAAATTACAGTATTTAAATTACATTAGATGCGCCATACCATGACCGCCTCAACTCGATTTAGATTTTGCCGATGTGGTGGACATATGCCGGGGTAAAGGCATGCTCTGGAATAACAAATTAAATATCCTAGCCCTCAAGGACTATACGTCACTGCTTTCCTCAAAAATCCCAGGCAAAGTAGTCATGTCATTTTTAATCATTGTAGATACGCTTGTGGACTAAATTCTCCAGTTTTCTTTATTACAGTATTATGATTGATACTCCGTACTTTACTTTAGTATATGCAAAATATATAAAAATGGGAGTGGAAAGTGGAAAGCCGCTAGTTTCCCATCTCTTCCAGCCTCCACAAACAAAATTAAAGTGTGCGTGTCACAAAATCTACCTTTATGTCATTTTTTTTTTTAATATATAGTTTCAACTAATTAATAATGCAGACCACTAATTAACTTTAGTGAGGAGTGGAAGTGGCCAAAATTGACAGAAAATATGGATATGAGAATCATATTTTGACTCGTCTCCCTCTTTTAAAAGGTGGTCATATAATCTTTATTAACACCACATAAACAAAAGTTGATATATAGCCATGTTTGTCACTATGCTCTACCAAGTTGTTTTAGTTTTTTTCAAAGAGCAAAGGTGCTACTTGGCTGCCTACTAACCACTTTAAAATATATAAAAATTTACAATTGCATCAATTTTTAGACTATAAAATTTTCAGTATATAATTAAGATGACGTTGGATTGTGCTTGGCCGTCCAACACAAATAAATAAAAATATGGTACTGTGGCATATGACTTGACTATGATTGGGCGATTAAGTTTGACACATGGTATGTGGTGAATGGGTTTAGCCATGTCTATGGGCTGGACCATGGTTAGATAAAAAACACACGGGCTAGGCTTAAGGCACGACCCAAAACCACTGAATTAAGGGAATTTTTCAAATTTATGAAAATAAAGGTTAGTCGTTTGCATAAAGGATCATAATAACCTTGAGTTAATGGACGGTTTCAACCTAATGGTCTCCCATGGACTTGTGGGGTCTATGAGAATTACCCAACCTCTATTCTTTCTAGGTTGACAAAGTCGAAAATTGTTCAAAAATAAAGGCTTAATATACAAAATTGTACTCCATAACAATTTTGGAGATTTAAGACTCGGTGTCAAAAACTCACAAGATTGAAGGGTTCGCACACTGAGGTCATATAATGTTTGGAGCCATATGACCATTGATTGGTGACAATTTTTTATTATTATTATTTTTAAACAATTTATATCACATCAAATTTGCAACTAGCAAACCAATTGTTTTGGGAAAGATGAGTAGATGACTTAGCTCGGCCTCTTTATCCAAGCCGTCTTTGGTTGGAAGAAAAGAAAAAAAATGTCCTGGCTCACTTGAGTTAATCAAATTCAAGATGAGTATTTAGATCCATATTATTGTGAAAATGTACGAGGAGATCAATAAGTTTGTCTGAATTCTGAAAGCTGCACATATTTAATGACTGAATTCAAGATAGAGAGAAATGTAAAAATTTGTTCAAGAGCTAAAACAAGAAACAAGAAAAAAGAAAAAAAAAATCTTCAAAAAAATAAATAAATAAATTATTAGAGAGCTTAAATTGCACCAAAGGAAACTGGAAATATGCACTGCAACTATCAAGTATAAGTGTATCAGTAGCATTTCTAGTACAAATCAACAGACCATACCGCCTCTTCTATGAGCAGCTTCCTTAATCAGAGAAACTCCTAGTTCATCCCTGGGATGGACGTTAAACAGTCCAATCTCATGTGTTTTCTTATAATTATAAAACTAACCTCTTATTATATTAAGAAGTAGACCACAATACCCTACATTGAATAATCTACCCATATAAATAAAAGCCTCAAGATTGGACTAAAAAGTCGAAATCCCAAGGGTGTTTTTATCATTGCTTTCCAAACCACTAACAAAGAATTATATACTTGCATAACATAATTATCCATCATCAAAGAGAATGAGAAGGATGAGTAAAAAAACACATCAATTTTGTGTTGTGTAGCCTTTTCTTTTTGCACTGTTAAAGCGGGCACCCACTGGCTTCATTTGATAAGATTCCTTTATATTCTGCATATCATATGATAATTGATACCCCATTAACAATAGCTACCTTGTAACTTAGATGGTGAATGAACGATGTAGCTCTATCACGTTTGTTGGGCGACATCCTTCATTATTCTCTCCTTAAGCATTTTCCACCTCTTTAGTATCCTGCCATCAGCATTAGGCAGGACACATGGGGGCATAGATGCAAGAGACGTAGCTGACTGCTCTAGGAACTGCTTCTGCTTTGGCTCAGCAAAGCAAAGCAAAGATTCGATACAGACTTCCTGGGCAGATGAAGGTGGAATTGGCTTGAAGTCTTGTAACTTTGAATACTCCATAAGGAGATGGAACATGTAATCGTATACACGGTCCATGTTTAAAGTATCCATGTAATCTTGACCAGCTTTTCCCATAGCTGCGGCCTGTTTTCAGCAAAACTTCTGACATTACTAATTATTTCCATGTCTAGCAGCAGATTGATTTTGCTAAAGAATAAGAGAAAAATTAGAGGAAAGGTCAAGCTACCTCAGCAGGGTGTGAATTTCCCCAGTCGACAGCCTGCTTTATGTTTGGGCATAGATCAGTACGGGGTACAGGCCAGTAGTTTTTCTTTGGCAGAAGGCCACGCGTAAAGAAATCTTCATACTGAGGAGCAATTAACAGTGTAAGGGAGCCACACGACAGTATGTATTTGAGACTTACAGACCAGGCATACCCTTCAGCATAAATTTTATACCTGAAACATGTAACATGTGCTGAGCTAGAAGTTTACTGATGTGCCATACCTCTAACACTAACAAAAAACAGATCATGACCTGGTTTGTTCTATTCACCTAATTTAATAACCCTTCATTGAAAAAATTGAACTTAGGTAGTCTTATCTAGTTATATGAACATATTGCCCCTAATTTGAGCTTATATGTCTAGTACAAGCTAGCTCTCCCTTATCTAAAAAGATCTTTCCTAAAACTTATGTTTGTAGAGTGAAAAAATTTATGCCAAACATAAAAAGTGAACAAATTAGAAAGCAGTCAAATAAGGGTGCATCCAAGCATCCTGTAAGTTATTAGGAGCAATGTGTTTGAAAAGCCCGTAGTAGTCAGTAAATTCTATCAGGAAAATGTTCATTTAACGATTTAAAATTTCTCAACAGAAAAGAGAGAACAGATAACATGATATGCTTGAATAATGTCAATCATGGTGTTAATAGCTGCTTAGGTCAGGAATTTAAAGACTCAAGACCTGTTAAGACAAAGTCCTTTCCTTGGTGCCAGTAAAGTCTTGACACTATATTAATATTATGTACTTGCACAAATAAATCTGCATTTCCTATCTGTATGAAATGAATTTGAAGATGAAATTCAAAGAGAGTGGCTTGCCTATGATCACACTGGCTAGATAGTTTCGACTTCTTGTAACCGGCCCTTGCTTCTTCTCCCCAATCCTGTATAGTACAAGAAGGATTAACAAGACAGATTGAGCCTAGCTTCTGAAAGATCACTAAGATTAATTGCCTTGCAGAGTACATTATTATTAAGTTATTTGTGGATAGGGAGGTAGGGGTAAATGTACTATGTAGGCTGATCTTCTCACCTGACGAAGGATCTGTGTCCTCCATTGTTTAGTATTATTACACTCCAATAAGGCTGAACGGATTGGGGAGCCAACATCTGGGTTCCCTTTCCAGTAGGCGTAAGGCCATTTCTTCGGCCAGCTTCTAGAACGAGAACCTCTTTTTATATCTCTAAACTCGGCATCCCAGGGTCCTACGTTCACCTCAGGCCTGAAATAATATCCAGTTACAAAATTCAGTTTGACACACACAAGAAGATAGGATATGGTATCAATAATTAAACAAACAAGAGCTCCACAGAATCTTGTCAACAAGTGTATCGAAGGTCGTTTAGATTAAGCATTTTCACTAGAATTCAATGAATCAATGGTCATGTTTGCAATTTGCAAAAAAAATATCAGCTACTTTTAAACATGAATAACAAATTATAAGAGTACTGAAAAGATAATGTATCATAAAATAAGCTCATGGAACATGCACTTAGGACAGAGCTTGAGGGTTTGAATTCAGCCAAATAAGGTTCTCGGGATGGAGCTTCCCTTACCTTCCTCCATCCCCCATCCCCAACTTCTGAAGGAATGCGTTGCTAATCTGGGCTAAGTTGACCTATGAAGAGTTGGGTCCAGTATATCTTCATCTTAACTAACCAAAAGAAAGCTAATCAAAGAAGGCATACACAAAAAAAGTTGATAATCATAGAACTGACCTATAGGACTACAACTCCAAGCGAAAAGACTATTAGTTACTCAATCTCTTATTAGAGTGACTTTAGAAGATTAAACATCCAAATTTCAATTCCAAATAATCTCTTCCAAGCACTTGCAAAATATCTGTTTGCATAGTGTCCTTTTCCAGGCCTTACAAAAAATGAAAATTAACAAACTTTTTTTTAAGAGAAGACCAGACACAAACAGACAGTTGGTAAAACCATACATTTCTCAGGCTGTCAGGCATCTCCAGGAAAGGAGAGAAGCTGAGTGTTTTCCTTAGTGGTGGCATGTAACTATTTTTAGATTCCAAGTATCAAAATAGACATTCTCCAATAAATGCTTCAACACCACTACACCAAACTAATGGCAGACTGAAATTGAACTGATCAGTCATCAGTCTTATTGTACCAATACCATATCAGAATTATTATTAAACAAGAACTATAGGCAACTTACCAACCCCAGAAAGACCAATCAGGAAATGGGATGTCGAAATGTTCATTAGTGGTGCAGTACCGGAAAAGTGGCAAAGGCCTTGAACGATGTTCTGTTCTATTAATTGCAGGCTTGTCCATGCAATCAAACATTAAATCAACATCAGGGACAAGGCCAGGATATCTTTTAAGAAGCTGTAACAAACCCCATACAGTAAACATCATACGACTTTGTACACAAGCATAATAGAAGTCCACAAATAAACGGCCTCCAACAATTACAACTCGAAAAGCTGCATACTCCTTTGCTTCCATCACCCGTTGTAAACTTATTCTGCTTTTGGACCACGGCGCTAAGTCTCTGTGTATGTATCTGAAGAATGCTGGACATGATGCCAGTTTAGACGGGTCAAGCTGTGGATCATTGGGGATGGCATTAGAGCGACACTGGAAATATTGGCATTGTACAATCTTAGTAGCCCGAGAATAGCTTGTTCCTTCATCAAAGACTTTAGGCTCAAACAAATGCCATGGTGTAGGCTTTAAATTGTGTCCTGCAACTGTCTTCGTCTGATATGCAACATCATCAACCTGTCAAACAAAATGCTTCTTCTCTTTAGACAAATCAACAATGCAAAATGATTACAGTTAATCAATCTTAATTAACGTCGTAAGCCATGGCTTAAGCTTGACAGTCAATTTTGCCAACTACATGGATCATTCATACAAATTCTGTTTCGATAATGGATAAGGAGGTAACATTTTCCATGTAACAATCTAATACAGAAAACAGACCTCATGAAATTAGTACACAAGAAACAAATCCGAAAGTTCAGTCGCACATGACTCAACAACCCCAACATAAATAAATATACTAATGTCACTAGATTTAGTTCAGTACAATATTTTATAGATTCATCCACATAATAGTCAATTCTAGAAATATGCACAATCAATATAAATAAGATGAAGACAAAATATCATCTTTTAATACAGAACAAAAAACCCAGAAATCTACGTCAAACAATCCAAGCAAAAAGGCTTTACACCATTTTTATCATAATTATCATCAGATCTCAAAATAACACCAAATTAAGAATCCAACATTGTAATAATCTCTTAAAACAAAACCCATCTGATTAAAACGTTAAATCATGAACCCCAACTTACAAACAATCATACGATCACCAAGTGTTCGACAAAATGCCTAAATGAAAACACGAAAAGAAAAACAAAGAAATGGGAAAAAACAAAGACCTTGAGAACAAGAAGAGCGGCAAGAGAGAGAAAAGCCAAGAGACAAACAGAGGAAAAGAGATAAGGAGGAGAACGAGGGAGTGAAGAATTGCCATGATTAAGCTTGGAACGCAACCCCATTGCCATTAAAATAAATCTGAAAAATGTTGCGTAAAAACAAGGAAATCACTCCAAATTAAACAAAGGAACAAGAATAATGAAAAGGGTGAGCTAAGAAAGTGGTAACAGAAGAAGGCATTTCTGTTGTTGCCGCTAAAACTCATCATATCTCTCGCTAATTTCTCCTATTGACTTTCTCTTTCTTTCCAAAAATTGGATCTTTGGCCAATTACATTAAACCACTGCTTCTGTTGTACTATCATTAAACTCTTAACTTTTTGGCTGTTTTTTTTTTTGGAGTTTGGGTCCTACTACTTTTGCCTTATTGGTTAGATTTGGTAGGTAGTTATTGTTCGTTGGTCCCACGTGTCAAGGTGTTGGGTTTCCCGCCAACAACTAGTGATCACTTCAAGTGGGTCCGGGTTCAACTAAGGTGGCTAGCTTGGGTTGGGATTAATTTGGAGTAATGATCATTAAATTGGAAAATTATCGATACCTAATTAAGTCTAATCTACTTTTTTTTAAGAAATGGAGGGTACGCGTATAAAAAATTCTACATTAACACATGCTTTTCATCACTCACTAAGGGTCTGTTCTCATTGACTGAATTGAACTGAACTCAGCTGAACAGAACTGAACTGAATATTTTATAAGAGAAGGAAATTAGGAGCTGAACTGAACTGAACTGAGCTGAACTGAATTTCAACGTATGAGAACAGGCCCTAAGGCATTACTCTGTATTGCTCTTTACTTTTACTAAAATAAATTAATTTTTTTAAATTTAAATTATTACTTTAATAACTAATACCTCCGTATCTGAACGTTGGACTCACTTATTATTCATCTCGCCAAAATAAAATAACTTTGATCATATATTATCATTTATACAACATAAATAAATCAATATGAGGGATCTTATTTATAATAAAGTTTTCAAAAATCAACTTTTTTTTATTATGATTTTCATTTATGCGTAGTTGAAGAAATTTATAATCAAAGATGTTCATTGAAAACCGTGCAAATACAAAGTGAGTCAAACTTTCAGGAACGAAGGGAGTATTATTGTTTTTGCAGATTAAAACTTATTTATTGATGCTTTTTAACTTGAAAGGATTTTTTTTTTTTTTTTTTTTTTTTTTACAATTGAAATTACTTTATGAAACTTAATCATTTTATTGAATATTATTTGTTTAATATGAAGAGAACAAGACATAATTATTGGATAAAAATATACTATTTTTATTTTTTTACAAGAAGTATCTATCTTACCTTATAAGATATTCAACATCATATTTAGTTCACATTGATCTATTTTCTTCAATTTATGTTTTTACAAGACCAAAAGTAAATCCAATTAGAGCTATCAATTCGGGTAAACGGGTCGGCTTTTGGTTGGGTTAGAGTGGGTCAGGTCAACTCGGGTCGAGTCAATTCGGATTAATTCCATAACCTATGCGGGTGGGGTTTGGGTTGGGTCATGCTTGAGTCAAGTCACGTCGGATCATACTTCTTATCGGGTTTAGGTCGGGTTTAATTCGGGTTAAAACGGGTTAGGGTATTTCTCGGGTTCGAGTCGGGTTCGATTCAAGTCAATAATTTGCGGGTTAGAATCAGTTCGGGTCATTCTCGGGTTTGAGTCGGGTTCGGTTCAAGTCAATAATTTGCGGATTATAATCAGGTTGGGTCATTTTCAAGTCGGGTCATTCTTGGGTTTAAGTTGGGTTCGATTCAAGTCAATAATTTGCGGGTTATAATCAGGTTGAGTCATTTTCAAGTCGGGTCATTCCCGGATTCAAGTCGGGTTATGTTCAAGTCAATAATTTGCAGGTTACAATTAGGTCGGGTCATTTCCAAGTCAGGTCATATTCGGGTTCAACTAAATATAAATAGATAATTATCATTTTTATCAAGCTAATTATTTCCTTTGACTATAATATATATGACAATATACTAGGGAACTATAGTCTATAATCTAGGAAGATAATTATCTCCTTTGACCATACAACAAATATATAATATATTTAACTCTTAAATTTGAGGATGATGCCCCTTTCTTTTGCTGGTCTGGACCGACTTGGTCTCCCTAGACAAAATGCTTCGATCAACAATAATAAGTGGTCTAAATTGCATTTAAAGTGATTTGAAATCGAGTCGGGAACAATTTGGGTTGAATTTAGGTCGGGTCAATAACAAGTCGTGTTAATTTCGAGTAGGGTTAGAAAAAGATCGGGTTGAATTTTTGGGTCGGGTAAGTAATAGGTCTGGTAAAATTTGGATCGGGTCAATAACAAGTTTGGAACCGTTTGTAATCATATATGATCATTATTTTTTGTCATAAAAGTTCGTAGTAGGCTTGAGTTAATGAAATCAGTGTAAGTTATAAACCGGTAAATTGGTCGTTTAAAGGAAAATTGGATGGTTCTACCCACCCAATGGGACTTGCAGAGGGTATTAGTAACCATGGTAAAAATTTCGGAAATTTTTATTTCCGAGCGAAAAAAAAGTCAATAAATTCAAAAATTGAAGACTAATATCCACGTTTTTTGAGAAATTTTGGAGGTTTCGGGGCTCGGTGTCGAAAAGTCTTGAAATTTTAGAGGATACATCTTAGGGTCATATAATGTGTTTGGAACCATATATGATCATTATTTGATGTCATAAATGTTCGTAGTAGGCTTGAGTTAGTGAAATCGGTGTAAGTTGTAAACCGATAAATTGGTCGTTTGAAGGAAAATTGGATGGTTCTACCCACCCAATGGGACTCCCGGAGGGTATTAGGAACCATGGTAAAAATTTCGGCAATTTTTAAATCTGGGCGAAAAAAGTCAAAAAATTCCAAAATTGAAGACTAATATCCACGTTTTTTGAGAAATTTTGGAGGTTTCGGGGCCCGGTGTCGAAAAGCCTTGAAATTTATAGAGATACGTCTTAGGGTCATATAACGCAGTTTGGAACCATATATGATCATTATTTGTCGTCATTAATAATCGTAGTAGGCTTGAGTTAATGAAATCGGTGTAAGTTGTAAAACGGTAAATTGGTCGTTTAAAGGAAAATTGGATTGTTCTACCCACCCAATGGAACTCCCGGAGGGTATTAGGAACCATGGTAAAAATTTCGGCAATTTTTATTTCCGGGCGAAAAAAGTCTAAAAATTCAAAATTTGAAGATTAATTTATCCACGCTTTTTGAGAAATTTAGGAGGTTTTAGGGCCCGGTGCCAAAAAGTTTTGAAAATTCTAGGGAATCGATCTCGGGTCATATAATTCCGTTTGGAACCATTTGTGATCATTATATGTTGTCATAAATGTTCGTGGCAGGCTTAAATTAATGAAATCGGTGCAAGTTGTAAACCGGTAAATTGGTCGATTAAAGGAAAATTGGATAGTTAAATCCTCCCAATTGGACTCCCGGAGGGTATTAGTAACCATGGTAAAAATTTCGGCAATTTTTATTTATGGGCGAAAAACAGTCAAAAAGTTCAAAAACTGAAGGCTAATATCCACGTTTTTTGAGAAATTTTGTAGGTTTCGGGGCCCCGTGTCAAAAATTCTTGAAATTTTTTGGGATACATCTCGGGGTCATATAATGCCGTTTGGAATCATATATGATCATTATTTTTTGTCATAAAAGTTCGTAGTAGGCTTGAGTTAATGAAATCAGTGTAAATTATAAACCGGTAAATTGGTCGTTTAAAGAAAAATTGGATGGTTCTACCCACCCAATGCGACACCCGGAGGGTATAAGGAACCATGGTAAAAATTTCGGCAATTTTTATTTTCGAGCGAAAAAAAGTCAAAAAGTTCAAAAATTGAAGACTAATATCCACGTTTTTTGAGAAATTTTGGAGGTTTCGGGGCTCAGTGTCGAATAGTGTTGAAATTTTAGGGGATACATCTCAAGGTCATATAATGCCGTATGGAACCATATATGATCATTATTTGATGTCATAAATTTTCGTAGTAGGCTTGAGTTAATGAAATCGGTGTAAGTTGTAAACCAGTAAATTGGTCGTTTGAAGGAAAATTGGAAGGTTCTACCCAACCAATGGGACTTGCGGAGGGTATTAGGAACCATGGTAATAATTTCGGCAGTTTTTAAATCCAGGCGAAAAAAGTCAAAAATTTCCAAAATTGAAGACTAATATCTACGTTTTTTGAGAAATTTTGGAGGTTTCGGGGCCGGTGTCGAAAAGTTTTGAAATTTATGGAGATACGTCTCAGGGTCATATAATGCAGTTTGGAACCATATATGATCATTATTTGTCGTCATTAATGTTCGTAGTAGACTTGAGTTAATGAAATCGGTGTAAGTTGTAAAACGGTAAATTGGTCGTTTAAAGGAAAATTGGATGGTTCTACCCACCCAATGGAACTCCCGGAGGGTATTAGGAACCATGGTAAAAATTTCGGCAATTTTTATTTCCGGGCGAAAAAAGTCTAAAAATTCAAAACTTGAAGATTAATTATCCACGCTTTTTGAGAAATTTAGGAGGTTTTAAGGCCCGGTGCCAAAAAGTTTTGAAAATTCTATGGAATCGATCTCGGGTCATATAATTCCGTTTGGAACCATTGATGATCATTATATGTTGTCATAAATGTTCGTGGCAGGCTTAAATTAATGAAACTGGTGCAAGTTGTAAACCGGTAAATTGGTCGTTTAAAGGAAAATTGGATAGTTAAATCCTCCCAATTGGACTCCCGGAGGGTATTAGTAACCATGGTAAAAATTTCGGCAATTTTTATTTATGGGCGAAAAACAGTCAAAAAGTTCAAAAATTGAAGGCTAATATCCACGTTTTTTGAGAAATTTTGTAGGTTTCGGGGCCCGGTGTCAAAAATTCTTGAAATTTTTTGGGATACATCTCGGGGTCATATAATGCCGTTTGGAATCATATATTATCATTATTTTTTGTCATAAAAGTTCGTAGTAGGCTTGAGTTAATGAAATCAGTGTAAGTTATAAAGCGGTAAATTGGTCGTTTAAAGGAAAATTGGATGGTTCTACCCACCCAATGGGACTTGCGGAGGGTATTAGTAACCATGGTAAAAATTTCGGCAAATTTTATTTCCGACGAAAAAAAGTCAATAAATTCAAAAATTGAAGACTAATATCCACGTTTTTTGAGAAATTTTGGAGGTTTCGGGGCTCGGTGTCGAAAAGTCTTGAAATTTTAGAGGATACAACTTAGGGTCATATAATTCCGTTTGGAACCATATATGATCATTATTTGATGTCATAAATGTTC